CAATTAAATTAATTATTTATATCATTATTTTTTTTTGTATATATTTTGGTTTTTTTTATATATTTTTTTATTTCACTACTGATTATTTTTAAGCATCTAATAATATTCCACCAAATTTGAATATATGTTTTTCTTAAAAAGCTGCTACACTTATATGGGAAGCTTTTTATTATAAATTATTAACTGGAATAGCATTATGTTAATTTATTTTTTCCAGAGATATTTTCTCACATTTACTTAGTGATCCTTCCATATAATTATAACCTCCAACAACATATATATAGTTTTGAAAACAGCAGACACCAAAAGAATGCCTTAAAGTGATTAAATTACTAACTTTTTTTAAGGTTTTATTTTCTAAATCTAGTAAATAAACAAATTTGTAATTATCTTCATTTTCCGCGTTTATATTTTTCGGGTCATATCCTCCTAATAAATATATATTTTAATTTGTCGCAAATATACTACGGTGATTAGGATATATTAAAAAGTCTATTATTAATTCAATAGTACTAAATTATGGATTAGGTTTTGATATATCTATATAATGGAATAATTTTGTACCAGGTTAAAAACAGAAAAGCCAATTTTTTATTTATTAATTACTAATTTATTTATTATTTTAATTTCGGCTTATTAATTGTTTATTCAATTAAAATTATTCCTATTAAGGAAAATATATTAAATTCTTCAATTCTTATTAAAAAGCTCCAATAAATCTTAAAACAACATCATCATCAATAATACCATCATATCTAAATATAAGAATATATATATAATATTTATATATATATTATATATATATAATGTATATATATTTATTTATACTTTAATTTATTAATATATTTATTAATTTATGCTTTTTTAAATTATTTTTTTAAAAAATACTTTTTTGTTCGTCTTTCTAAAATTAAAGATTCAAGTCTTGCTTTTTAAAAAGCAACCTAATAAGGAAGATCATTTTAAGTGACAGTTTTGAGAGTTTCTAGAGAATCACAAGAATTAAATAATTCAAAAGCCGTTTATAACTTTTATTTAATTTCTTCAAAAATGTCCTTAATTTTTCCTTTATAGGCTTTTCAAATTTTTCTCTAAGTTTAATAATAAAATTATCGAATTCAGCATTTATTTAATTTTTTATATCTTCTAGTTCTTTTATTGTATTTTCAATTGGTAAATCAGGATTTGATAAAGATTCGATTTCTTTATAGGCTGTTTCGTATAATTTCTCAAGGTCTTCCCTTACTTTTAATAATAATTTCTAAATATTAGATTTTTAGTCTTCGTATGTTACAAATGGGTTTTTTATTTCTGGTTCTTATTCGTTTTTGTATGATTCGTGGAATTATTTGTGTTTAATGTAACAGTCTTCACATAATTCTTTAAAATTAAAACATATTGGATGTAAACATATCCATTTTACTGTACTGTTTTTGACTTTACAATTTAATTAGGGACAGATATGAGTTCGATGCATTTTATTTATAAATATTTTAAGTATACTTTTATATTTTAATATTTTTTTTATATAAATATATATTATTTTTATTAATATAATTTAGAAAATTATAATTTACTTATTAATTTAATAAATCATATATAAAAAATTTAAACATAAATTTTATTTTATTAAAAACAATATATAATATTTATATAAAATTCTATTTTATAATAAAAAATTATAGATAAATTTATTTTGTAATTAATTTTTGTTCATTCTATAAAATTTAATTTAGTAAACTAATTTCAAATATATTGGAAATTTAAAAAATTACTTTTTTTTATAAATATATATAATTATACATATATATATATATAATTATATAATATATATATATATTTTTATACATATATATAAATACAATAATACATTTATTAATTATATAAAAACACTAATTTTTTTTTAATATATATGTACATATATAAATTTATTAAATCTATTCAAAACTATATAAAAATTAAAAAATATAAAAAATTTGAACAAACATTTACGAATTTAAAAAAATTATAAAAATATATAAAAATAAATTAGATAATACATAAATAATTCATTTATATAGTAATACATATATAAAAAAATACATTTAAATTATTTTTAATATTTACAATTAAATACAAATTTATACTATATTTTAATATAAATAAATATAAACAAATTTATATAAATTTATTGATTAAATTTTTTTTTTATATATAAATAAATTTATATTGTTATTTTTATATTTATGTTTTTATTTATATATTTTTATTTATAATGATATACAAATATATAATATATTTTCTAAGATATCATAAATAAATAAAATTTTTATGTAATAATAAAAATTAATATATATTAAAAATAGTAATTTTGATAATAAATATATAAATATTTTTTGTTTATGTATATTTATTTTGTATATATATTTAAATATTATTAAATATATCTATAAATTGTAAATATGTACATTATTTTTAAAATATTTTTTTTTTATATAAAATTATGTAGAATAAATTATAAAAAAAAATATATAAAATTAATAAATTTTCTATAAAATAATAATTATATATATTTATAAATTATATTTAATTTTTGAAATAAATATATAATTTGTTTTTCTTTAAAATAATTATTTATATATATATATATATATATATTTGTCTTTTTATTTTTTCATATTTATGTAGCAACATTTAATTTACTGCATGTTACTTCAAGTAATTCTAATAATTTTTCTTCTGTATTTTCTCTTTTATTGATAAATTATTATATTTTATATAGATAATATAGAATATATACCTGTTTTTTCTTTCAATATCGATTTCATTTTTAACCCTGTTAACAACTTCTTTTAACATATCAAAAATAGCTTATTCGCTTTCTTCTTTGTCTTATTTTTCAGTTTCAAGTAATTAATTAACTTTTAGTATTTCATCAAAAGTTCTTTTAATAATTTATTCATCTATTTATTCTCTTTATTCTCGCATAACTTCGTATAATGAATGGTTAATTTAGGTATTTCATCCTTAATAAAAATATAATAAAATATTATATATATAAAATAAATTTATAACTTCTAATTTATGGTTTAAATCTTAAAAAATATTATTTTTGATTTCTTTTTCTTTTAATATTTCTTCTTTTAATGAATTAAATTTTTATTCTAAATTTTAAATACTTTTTATTTCATCATTTTTTCTTTACTTTATTATATATAAAGAAAAATATAAAATATAATTTTTGTATACATTTATTAATTAAATATTATATTAAGTAATTATATTATATAATTATAAAAAATTTATTTATTTATATATATATATATTTATATATAAATATATATATAATATTTTAAATACTTATATTTCATTATCTAATTATTTATTTAAATTTTATTCTAAAATTTATAATTCTTGTTCTTTTTATTAAAAATAATTTAAACGGCTAACTTTATCTTCATTTACGAATTTTTACAATTTATTTACTGTAGTTTTAACAATATTTACTTTATTTTACAATTTTGTTTCGAATTCTTTTATTGAATCTTCTAATTTTTATAATTTTTCTTCAGATTAATCAATTTTTAAATTGTTATTTGTATCTTAACTTATATATACGTTGCTTAATTTTTCTGCTATTCTTGCAATTCTATCGTTTTACGGTGAATCTTATTATATTATTATATTTTAAATATTTTTATATCTTACTTCTGAAAGCCATAATTTTATTTATTCTAATTATTATAATAATTTTTTTTTTTATTTAATTATAAATATTAACAAATATTTTATTTCTAAATTAATAAATTGAAAATAAATAAAAATGTTACATATATAAAAATTATAAATATATATATAATCATATTTTATTAACTCTTAAAATTTAATTTCCTTTCTTTAATTTATTTTATTCGTTATCTTTCTGTTATATTTTAAGTTATCCTCTATCTATACTTTCCATTGGCATTTTAAACTCATTTTTAAGATTCGTATTAGATTTTATATTCGATACAAAACTTAACATACTAGTTTTGATAGTTTTATCATTTATTCTATTATTTTCTGTATCATTAGAGACATTATCATTAAAAAAATATTATTTTAATAAAGCATATCATTTTTTTATTAAATCTTAATAGTATTAACTTTTTATTTTTTTTCGGTTTAGTTTTTGTCTCTTCTTCACCTTCAATTTCATATTTAGAAGAATCAGACGAACTAGAGTTTAATTCTAATTCTTCAATATCATCCTCATTTTATTTATTTTTTATTTTTCAATTTTAACCCCTTCAAATTCGTTAAATTAGTCCTTTTTTATAGCTTCTTATATATCTTTATATTTTACGTTTTTATTTAAAATAGCTTATTTTTCAGACTTAATTTTAAAGTATTTTAAATCTTCTTTTGAATAAAACTCCATAAAGTCCCGAATGAATTTCTCTACAAAACGTTATTCGCCAAAAAACATTTCTTTATCAATAAAATAGCATTATATTATAGTTTTACAAGCCATAGTGAATGAACCTTGGAATAACTATATTTTTATTAATATATAATAAAGTATTTGTGTAGTTTTTTTATTTTATTTTTATACATCAGAAATTTAATAGGATATTAAAAAGACTACTCCAGCTGGTAAAATAGGAGTTTCTACTTATAGAATTTCATTTTACATAAAAGGGGTTACATTAGAATTATTTACGAAAATATAAACTAGTAGAGCATTAAATAATGCGCAGCAAAGTTTAATTTAAAAAATAATAAAACTAATCAAAAATTCTAAATCCTTTAGTTTCTCTTTATGTCTAAATATTAAAAAATAGGCTTTTTTTGATCCTTAGAAATAAGGGTCGCTGAAAAGACTAGTTTAAATAAAAGATTTATCTGAAAAATACCTAAAAAAAGTCTTTTCTAAAACTATACAACACATACAACATCCTTGAAAATATCTCACTAAAGTACTATTTTAAGGGAGACTTTTAAAAAAAGCAATTGATAAAGATAAAAGGGTTTTCGGTATTATAAATATTGGTTTAATTAATGTATGGAATACTATACTTCCTAAATGATATTTAAATATATTTTTTAAAGTTAATTATAAAGGTATCTTTATTTTAAATTATTAATATAATTAAATATTTATATATTTTATTTAAATTATTACTATAACAGCATCTTTTCTTTTTGTAAAAAACCATATACATAACGCAAAACTTGTAACCATATTATTTATATTGAATATGAGATTTTACCAACTATAGAAAATATAAAATAGGAATAAAATTAAATAGTTCATATTAGAATCGTATACTATTACTTTTACTTTATCTTAATCAATAACTAAAATTAAGTTTAAAGATAAAATTATATATATATATATATATATATATATATATATATATATATATATATATATATATATATATATATATATATAGTTATAAAAAAACCTCCTTTTATTACATCTTTTATATGTATTTCTCCTATAGACATAGCATTTAAACAAGCAATTAAAGTAAATGAAGCAGCTAAAATGGAAAAAAATACAGCCACTAATGGTACTATATTTAATTAATTTAATACTTTTAAAACTCTAGCTGAAGTTTTTATAAAACCAATAGCCAAATTTATCCTATTAAAAAGTTTTATAACTATAAACATATATAAAACTCCAATAATAGCTATAATCCAAAATAAATTCTAATGAATAAAATAATATATATATAGTTACTAATATATATTTATTCTTATATACGTATATATAATTAAGGTTATACATAAAAAATATAAGCTCGTTATCCTCCACAATCATGTTTATCGATTTTTTGCAAACATCTGAAATTTATTTACTATTAAAATTTAAAAATAATATAAACAAATCAAAATTATATAAAAGTGAGTATATATTTATTTATATATATATATATAAGTATTTACTCTTTTATATTCATTATAAAATAAAAAAGAAAGAATTCCAAAACAAAATGTACTTCCCCAAATACATCCCCAAATCAAATATACAACTTTTTATTCTTCTCTCATCAATAATTACAATAAATATGAAAATAGAATTCCTGTAAAAAAAGCTATTAATATTACATCTAATGTCTAAATATGAATATATATGTAAATAGATATTTTTATAAACAGGTATATATATATAATAAAGAATAATAAATATATATATTTATTTATAATTTATACTAAATTTAAATCAGAACATATTCTTTTTAATATCATTCTTGTCGAATTTAAATAGCTATCAACAGCTTTTCTATTAAGAGGTTCTTTAGGAATGCAATATCTACCTAAGACATCACTTGAAAGTTATTAATAACAGAATTTACTCCATTCATCAGGATAAATAATACCATAAATATTATAAATACAAATATCTAAACCCTATTAATATTTTTTTATATTTATACTTAATCATTATTTTTAAATAAAAATATATAATATATATTATATTTACAGTTGTTTATGGACATTAATTTACACAAAAAGATACATTTGTGTCTTTTGTAGAAGCTGCAAAATATTAATATTGTCTAAATTATAATATTCCCTAACCACAAATATTTCCTCGAAAATCATTTCCACCTGAAAGTCTTTCAGGAACACCATAATATAAAGCTATATTAATAAATATATATATGTATATATATATATATATATATATATATATATATATATATATATATATATATATATACCATATCCTAGACCATATAAAAACGCACAATTTATTAAATCCATACAATTAATGAAAAAACATTTGTTATTTTTCTATTTTCTTAATTTTTTTTTTTTTAAATCTTATTATTTATACAATATTTATATATAATTTTTATATTTTTATAATAACCAGTAATTCCTTTAAAGTCTTAGTTTGGTATAAATTTTTGATTATTTGGATCATTTTTATCTATTATATCCCATTTTTCTAGTTATGATATTTCATCATCTTTTCCAAATCCTTTTTATATTTTTTATTTTTTTAAATTTTGACTTTTTTTTTAATCAATTCTGCTTTCTAATTTGCTTTATGAAAGATCTTATTTTTCTTTATCTTCAAACTTTGTTTATATTTTCACATTTAATTATTAAGTATTTTCTTCTTATTATTATTCTTATTATTATTCTTATTCTTATTCCTATTCTTCTTCGCTATTTGAACCTAAAAGATCTTTTGCTTATTAGTCTATTTTTTCTATTTCTCTATCTATTTCTTATTATTATTTCTTATGAAGTGTTTGCTCGATTTTTCGAGTCATTTCAAATTCGGAAGGCGGACGATTAGAAAATGTATCTTTAGGAAGTTTTTTCATTATTAATTCTTACCTTAGTTATATATATTAAAGGTAATTATAAAAAAAAAAATTATATATATTATTAATATATAGTATATATTTTGTTTTAAAATACTTTAAATTATAATTTTATTAATATATGCATATATATTATTATATATTTATATATACATATATAAATAAATATATATATACATATATATTGAAAATAATTTTTAATTAAGAATAGTTTTTTATATATAATTATTATTTTTTTTAAAATATGGATTAAAATTCAATTGAATAGATATTCCAGTAAAAATTGGAAGATCTTTAAATAGAAAATCATCCAACTTAACTTTTGGAAGGTTTAAAATTATTACTAAAATTATTTGATAAGTAACAAAAAAATCTTAATATAATTGATTTATTAAATATTATATTTTATATATATATTTATAAATATAGCATTGGCTAAAATCCATTAGAATAAAAATACAGAAATATAAAAGCCACTAACACAAAGATAAAGTAGACTATATTTAATCTTGATAGGATATAATAAATACTTTCACATACAGGATTTTAATTTGTATATTATATATATTATATAATATATTTATAATAAAATAGGATGGATTAAATGATACTTGGTATCTACCCGATTAAAACTTATATTAATTGCTAGGACATATTAATTAGGTTAGAGATTTCGCTGCTTTGTTAGAGGCTTAGATGATATCTCCTGAAGAATATTAGAAATAATTATAAATTTAACAAAGGTTAAAAGAAGAGAAACAAAAATAATAAGATGCTAAATAAAAAGAAGATAAAATAAAAGAATTGATGAATTGTGATAAATTAGAAAGAAAACATATTGCACCTGCTAAAGATTCTATAGCTAATGTAAGACTTAATTTTATTTGTTTTTTTTTTTTAAAAAAATAAAAAAAAAAAGAAATCTGATTTTGGATCAAAAACTAAAACCTGTAAAGATCTTGGAATCGGAAAATAATAAAGAGGGTGAGGTTGAGCCTTACTGGGGACAAATTATTTAATATTGATCAAATTAATTTGATCAATATTTAAATAATTTGTATTTACCCAGGTTTTTTTTAGTAATTTAACTAAATTATTAATACGAATATAAATTTTTTATTTTCTATTAAGAAAATAATTAATTTATTTTTTAGATGTGGGCATGGAGATAGTAATTGACTTTTTTTTATATATACATGCTCTGTTTTTTTTTATTTAAAAAAATAAAATAAAACACAAAATGATTTATTACTATTAAAATTCTGAAAAGAAAATAGTAATAATGATATAAATTTAGTACATCTGAAATGGGTTTGTATTTAATTATTTGGATTAATTTCTAAAAAAAAATTTAAAAGGCAAATACAAATAAATTTATGAAAAAAAAAAAAAAAATTGCATATATTTTATATATAATATTTATATTTTATTAAAAACATAAGATTTTTAAATATATAAATAAATAAATATACAATTATATATATATATTTTTTTTCATATATAAATATTAATTATATTTTATTTATATGAAAAATTATATTATTTTTTATGTTAATGATTATGTAATTTATTTTATTAAAATTTATTTAATATACATAATAAAAATAAAAATTATTCTTCTCGTAAAAAAAAAAATTATTCTAAATATATTATTTAATATAGTATCATTTAAATATATAAAAATGGAAAGTTAATATTTTGATTTCGAAGTAGAAATAAAAAAACTACACACAAATTATATTTCTTAAAATGCTTATTTTTAAGTTTCACTATAAAAAGGTAATAAATAATTAAAAAAAAACACTCTAATTTATATATAAATAAAAGATGATAATATAATTGAAAATAAAAGAAAAATTCCTTTTAATGTTTATAATTATGACTTGAATATAAATGAAATATTTTAATTTAAATAAAAATTTAAAATGAACTAAAAAAAAAATGATATAGAAAATGAATATGTAAATAATAAATATATATATTATATATAAATTATATTTATTTAATTTATTTATAAATAAAGGCTGAAATTTAATTTCAAATATACTAAGATGAAAAAGAAAAACAAATTTTTGGAATTTATTAAATAAACTTAAGTGACTATATAAAAAAGTATCCAAATAATAATTATAATATTAATGATTTTTTAAATAACTGTTAATATAAAACCACAAAAATATTTTTTGATATCAAATTTGAAAGGTAAAAAATAAATAAATAAAAATATATATATATATATATATATATATATATATATCTTTTATATCTTTATATATCTTTATATATTTTTATATATTTTTATTTATTTTTATATATCTTTAGGTCTGATATTTCTACATCTTCAAGTGAAAATTCTTGTTCAATGAAATTTATTACAGAAATAAAATAATAAAGTCCTTGTTAATCAAAATAGTAAATTCATAAAAGCATCGAATACAGTGGAGTTAAGTAACCAAATACTAATTCTTTAACTCCAAAAATTAAATTGACATCATAAAATCGTTTTTATACATAAAATTAGATTGAAAAAAAAAAGTGAATATATAAATACAAAAATAAAAAGATGAATATTTAAATTACGAGACTTTAAAATAATTAATTAATTTGAAAAAAAAATATATATAATAATAGAAAATGTAAAAGAGTTTTTCCTAAAGATTTAATGATTAAAAAAAATAAATTTAACCTTCAAGAAGTTTTATGAAAAAAAATGAAAAATAAATAAATTTATAAGAATTTTAAATGTAAAATATATATGATATTAGTAATTTAGATAATCTTATTAATAAAGAAAAATAATAAATATAAAATGATTAAATTAATGAAAATGAAGGAGTAGTTGATTATGTAAATAAAGTTAAGAAAAATCAAGAAAATAATGGTCTTTATTAATCTTAATAATATGAAAATATACCAGTTTAATATTAAAACAAAATAAACTTGAACTAATAATAATAGGAAAGAAATTAAATTTAATAATCAGAAAAAACCTTAAATATAAAATAGGTTTAAAAAAAAAAATCTAAAATTATATATGTAAATAAAAAAAAAGGTTGAAGATTAAACTATATTCAATAATTCTCATATATAAAAAATAAAGAAAAATACAATAGAATTTTATAAACAAGAGAATTTAAAATTGTAATAAAAAATAGAATTAATATCATTAGATTATGAAAATCGAATAAAAATTATATAAAATATTAATTCAGAGCTTAATTAAAAATTAAATTAAGTCGAAGAATATTATAATATATACGAAAATAATTCTAAATAATAAAGCCCTAGGGAACAAAAAGACGTAAAAAAAGAATAAGATTAATTGAAAGATTTATAAAAAAGTGAAAAATAATTAAAAAAACAAATTTAAAGGCTCGTAAATGAACTCTCAATTACTAAAAATGAGGCATTTTAGCCAGTTTTATATGCTTAAGAAAACGTAGAGTTAATTTTTTTGAGATAAAACAGAAAATAACTTGAAGAAGAAAAAGAAAAATTGGAAAAACAAGTTTAAGTGCTCAAATGTGAATTTTTTGAAGAGTTAAATAAAGTCGTTTTAAGTTTACAAAATTAAAAGACAAGCTAAAATTTAGAAGTTAAATAAATTTTCTAATAACTTTAAATTATTTAGAATTTATTGATAAATGAACGTGTAAAGTATATATTTATTTATTATAATAATTTTATATAAATATATATATATATATATTAATATATAATTATATATATATATATATATATATATAAATTAAAGGAAAAGGATAAAAAATTAAAATAAGAAATTTCTAGATTATAAAAATAGGTTGATTTTTAGGAAAAAAGAGCTAATTAATCTGAACTTAAAAATTAAGAATTAGAAAGAGATATTATAGATGCAAAGCAAAATTTAGCTGATACTCTAAATATTGTTACTGAAAAAGGTGGATAAAAGCTAATAGAATATGTGGAAAGAAAAATTTATTAGTTTAAATAATGAAAAAAAATTAATAAATTATTATTCTTTTATATTATTTTATTTATATGAAAAAATATTCTATATTTAATTTTATTTATATTAAAATAAATAAAAATGTACTTTAATAATTTATAAATAAAAAATATAATAAAAATATAAATTTTTATCATTATTAGTATAAAGATAAATTATTTGTACGAACTTCTTCTTTGAGTTGTTTTAAATTTTTAAGACTATCTACAAACTATATATATGCATATAAAAATATATATATTATATTAAAAAGGATATATAAAAAATATATTATATATATTTATATATAATGATTTTATAATGTATATAAATATAATTTTATATTTTAATTATTTATGTATATATATATAAATATTATTTTTTTTATTAATTATTTTTTTATA